TTACGAAGGCCAATTAATGGCGAATCACGATCTGCGAACAAACAAACAACCACATGCCCATTAAGCACTGTCATTGCTGCCTGATGCCTATCCTGAAACATCAGGATTGCAGTGATGAAAAGTTCTGAATCGCTAAAATCTAGTAAATACAGTGCATGTAAGGCTTCAGTTCTGCTCCATGTGGTTTAGACATTAGGGTAGCAATTCAGTCTTACCAGGACACATTCTTCCAGTGTTCTTGCTGGGCACCAGTGAAACATGCCAGTGCTATCGTATTTCATATCCTGTTGCTCGAATTCCTTACCGATATCAATGCCACGGCCTTCCGGTGGCAGACTTAGCGAATTTTTCCTCCCCATCATACGCCTAAAACTATTTTGTTTTGCTGGTAACGAGAAAATGGATGTGCTCATTCTGGCCCACTGCTTCATAAATGATTTTTTTTTTGGATGAACTGGCGAACCTCTGGTCAAGTCGTCGTAGCTGTACCGCTGTATCATTCGCCGCATTAGACATCGGTGTTGCACGAGCTGAAATCAAAGTGCTTGTTCAAACGGTGGTTTCTGGAGATGAAGAGGGGATAAGATGAGAGCAGCTTGTAAGTAGTATCAAGAAAGGTTAGATAAGCAACAAGCAAGCACTTCTTATTACCAAAATCATCCACTCCATTTACGTAGCCTTTTTTCGTGTCGTAATCTGAAACGTGCATACAAGCATAATGCGTTGACGTAGTAGTCTACGTGGCAACTGGCAGTGGTACCCACAAAACCCGATCGCCTTCGGAGAGGTCGTGCGGCACGCATAAAAGAAAGCTTATAGAGCCGAGGCGAGAGCGCAGGAAAGTCGACCATAACCGTGCACAGCGTATAGAACCATCTTAGTAATACCACGGACGCTGTACAGATAATCCAAAAAATTCCGGTAAAGGGAGTTACGGACAGGAATCATTATATTTGCATTATTAATGTAAGAAAATATTCGGTAACTGTTGTTGCTAAATATCAAATCTTTGCTATAGATGTGAAAAGCGAAGGAATCCAGAAAACTGACCTATTCGTTTTGATAACTGCACTTGTTTTGCTCCTTTCCGAAAAAGCGCCACTGAAACAAGAATTTGAAATGAATTTGGAAATTCTGAGACTGCACACTTGAACATTCTTTCGGTTTTGGATAAGTGAAAGACGAAATTTTTCAAATAAAAGGTTTCTGCATTAACAGCTCACAATTTCGGCATTTGCATTTCTTGATAAGCGACACATCCATGATGTCTTCGTGGCATTGCTTGCACCAGTAAAATGCTCTGAAAAATACACCAGTTGTAATTTTCAAGTTTAAAAAACCGAGTAAAATTCAATAAAAGAGCAAATGCACTGGTCGGGAAACGAAAGCAAGTAATTTTCAGCCAAGGAAATGAGTAAAAAAATATGAAAAAGAGAGAACCGCTTCACTTCATCAGCTGACTGAGCAATGAAGAATCCCTGAGTCTGTGGCTGGATAGTGGTGTTAGGTGCCGGATTGATAGCTATATTGCATTCCTTCTTCTCGTCATCCTTCAGTTCGATCGCTAGCAGTAGTAATCCAAGGCGCGTGAACAACAAGCTGTAACAGAATTTAGTGAATGATAATACTGCGAAGCAAGGTATGCCACTTTCCAGTGTTAATACTGTCACTTCAAACCTAGCCTTTAAATGCAATCACAGCAGCAGCATGTAATGTTAGGATTGTAAAAGCAAAGCAAACAGGATTCACATTTTCGTATTTTATGCTGGAAACCCTGCTTGCTCCTTCTTCCTGGACACATTGGCGATTTTTTTGAGAAGCGCTGGTGGGTGCATGTGGGG